ATTGTTTTTAAGAGCATACAGTTCTTGAAATGAATTGTGGTTAATTAATTTACCTGTATGATTATATAAAAACCTATAAAATTAAATAAATAAAAATATTTCATTATAAAATATATAAATAAAAAATATATTTGTATATAAATATGTATTATTTAATATTTCATTTTAGGTTCAGATGATAATAGACCATACTCAAAAATCATGAATCATGTCCAAAATGTGTAAAAAGGTAGTATTTATAAAGTGTTAGCTTTTAGTTTTGGATCTGTATTTAGTTGTTTTAATGCTACAATTGATTGCTTCTGTTGTCCTCACTTGTAAAAGCGTCTGATAAATGACTAAAAAAATATATATATATATATATATATTATAGTTATGTTTCTGGTAATAATATATTATATAAATGGTCTTCGAATATTTTGTTGGACATTGTTTTACTGGTTTAGAATTGTCTATGATGATCTGAACCTAAGATTAAGTCAAAATTACAACCTCCAAATAAATCCCAGATATAAAACCAAAGCCATACATCTGATTGCTAGGACAGGTGTGGCTTTACCAAGGGACATTTAAACACAGCATGGGACTGAAAGCACAGACACTGAGGAGGAAGTGTGTACTGTACACATATCCACACTAATTCACACACTGACCTTCCTCTTTTCATATTTAAAAGAGGGTGGATGATACGGCGGTACAGACCAGCTGTACGGGTAATCATCCGAGTGGTTGGAGGCAATGCCTTGAGGACGAGCACGTGAAAGAGAAACAGTATTAGTTTAAACATCAAACAAGACAGTTAACACATGAAAGGATTATAAGGTAATCAAAAATAAATGCCCAGGTCATATTTCACATCAAAATGAAAAGGGGGAAAAAAGAAGGCATAGCAAAGTCAAGTTTTTAGGATTTTTTGCATTGTGACATGATCATGCATGCATACATCAGATGGACTAGTTACCAGGATGGAAGACTTTGCCAACTGATAAAGTGGTGTATCCATTAGACTTGAAGTACTGAGGAAGTGTAGTGTAGTTCCCTGCATGGACTCTCCAGTAGGAGTTGAAATCATACAGCTTTGTGGTGTCTGGTCTTCAACTTGTTAGGAAAGACACCCTACTAGGTCCACAAACAGCTTGCTTTAAAAGAACACAACAGTAGTGTGCACCTGTGACTTAAATGTACACTACCAACAAAGCTTTGCATAGTATGTATAATGCATATTTATGTTTTTTGATGAGCAATAATACAACATACCTGTGCATTGGCGTTATGAAACACTGTGCTCACTGATGCAAGTTGATCGATGTTTGGTGACTTGACCACTGGATCAGAGTAGCAGCCTAAAGTTGGTCTCAAATCATCAGAAATTAAGTACAAAATGTTGAACTGTTTGCAATCTACTGCAAAAACACCTGCTTCCAAAACGTGTAAAATCAAAAGAAACAACCTCATCTGAGTATTTACAAACATTATGTTCATATGTTCATGCGGAAATAGCGCGATATAGTTTAGATTGAATACTATCAAATCAGTGACTTCATTTTATAACATGTCAAGCTACTTGCAGTGTTGTGCTTCCTGGTTTTCATAGACTGGCTGTGATGACTGGAATTGATCTTAAAGACACAGTACACGTTTTCTCTTGTCTACTGTACCAGGGGTGGACTTACCCATTAGGCAAAGGTAGGTGACCGCCTTGGGCCCCCAAAAGCCAAGGGCCCCCTAAAATGCTTTTCATATATGATGTGCATTAAGCGCTGACACGCGAACGGTTGCTGTTTACTGAGTTTATTACCACGACAACCGTCGGAGTTGAACTTGCTTCTTGTGTATTCTGCTTGAAGGAGATGAAAATATCATGCATCTGTAGCTGTCATATCCGATATTGAGAAACAGTGTGTATTATATGTTTATAGTTGTTTTAAATGCCGCTTACTCATTTATAAGAAGGAACCAAGTAGAGGACACATATGCAGTTACTTTTTTTGGTTGATTTAATAGGTGTGTAAATGTATAATTGCCTTTTCATTCTTTTTTCAGTTTTATTTTAATTTGCAGTTAAAATAACTAAAAATAAATGTATTTTTTGGGCCCCCAAAAGCCAAGGGCCCCCTAAAATGCTTTTCATATATGATGTGCATTAAGCGCTGACACGCGAACGGTTGCTGTTTACGGTGTTTATTACCACGACAACCGTCCGAGTTGAACGTGCTTCTTGTGTATTCTGCTTGAAGGAGATGAAAATATCATGCATCTGTAGCTGTTATATCCGATATTGAGAAACAGTGTGTATTATATGTTTATAGTTGTTTTAAAACCTGTACTGTACATATGTAGTGCTGGTGAAACAACTCTTTTGAGTTGGCTCTATAGTGAATAACAAATATACAGTGATACCCCAACAAACGATTCTTATGACTTGTTATGTTTTTATTAGTGAATCAGAATCATGAGTCGAATCTTTTCAGTGAACCGATTACCGAACGAATGACTTTTCATCATAAACACTTATAAGTCAGCTGCAGCCGTTATTGAATTAATGTGACTCGTTACTGCGGTGCTGTAACTCAATGACTTAACCGTAGTTAATATGACATTTAAAGAAATTCTAAATGTAGTAAAAGTGCAGTAGCCTATGCATTTAACTATTTACAGACTTTTTAAAGGCCTTCAGACGATATACTTACCATGTATTTTCTAGCATGCATTAATGGAGACATCATGAAAATAGACTTCACCGGTGCATCAGAGGCAACAGCAAAACAAGACAAATAAACCGTAAAGGGTATGACTGCTTAACTGGTGTGTTCAGTAACTTATGTTACATGCATTGCAATTTATATCAACGATTTCCATTCAAAGGTGTCGAGGCTTCCAAAAAACTTGAAATACAAGAGTAAGATCATCAAAGTTGGCAGAGCAAAGCAGATGGACCCGGCTGTGATTGCTGCCATCATATCTAGAGAGTCCAGAGCTGGAGCTGCTCTCAAGGATGGGTTAGGCGACCATGGCAATGGCTTTGGCCTCATGCAGGTTGGTCAGAGGAACTGTTTTACTCTATTTGAAAAGATAATGCCACAATGATCATAATATGAGGCACATAAGACACATATAAGATGATCTTTAGGCTGATTAGTCTACATCTGGACTTTAAATAGACACACTAATCATACACTCTAAAAACTGTTGGGTTAAATTTTTACATTACATTTTTAACCCAAAAGTTGTGTTAGTCCATATTTGACCCAAAGTTGGGTTGAAATAACCCAGCATTTTTTAGAATGTAGATAATCCATGCAAAACATTTTTGTCACTGTGAAATCATTGTTATATATTGTTTTGCATAAGGTAACATTATATTTAGCATTGGTTAGCATAATACTCAGCCAAGCACAATGACAACTTGCTATTACTTGCCGGCATTATAATGTGTAATTGTATGCCTAATTGCTTGTAACTCACAAACAACACAGACTCTAATTAAGTCATCAAGTTCAGTCTAATCATATATTGTTTATGCAATTATATTGTTATAATGTAAATTTGTCTGTTTTTGTTTATTTATTGTTTTGGGCCCTTTCATTGAAAGTGCTTTTACGAGAATGACTGCCAAATTTGATCAAATAATTAAACAATCCTAGAACCATTTGATCAGAGAAGTTGAAATTTGGCTCGCATTTGCACTGCTAAGATTTCCCACAAAGTTTCATTTTATTTCTCTTCACTTCCTTCTTTTGCCTGCACCTGCAAAGTTAGAGCTTTCCCTACAGTAGAATCTAGCAGTTTCATCAGATGTGATGTTTTACGTTTTTGAGGTGCACTCTAAAAAATGCTGGGTAAAATAGGGACAAACCCAGCAATCGGGTTGTTTTGACCCAGCGGTTGGGTTACTACCCAGAATGTTGGGTTAAACATTTAACCCAACCGCTGGGTCAAAACAACCCAATTGTTGGGTTTGTCCCTATTTTACCCAGCACTGGGTTGTATTTAACCCAGCATTTTTTAGAGTGTGTATAAAGCACCTGATAAATCTGATAAACTTGCTCACTTATCATTAATGGCCAGGGTGTGCTCTAATAAGACATAAACAAGGAAACTCCACCTTTCATTTCTCCACACCTAAGAGGAAGAACATCTGAGACAAGCAGAGAATCCACTCCTTCTGTGATCATATATAATCAGGCCGTGCTGAGATCTGATTTAGTGAAAAGTCTCAGCAAACTCAGTGATTTGCTCTTTCACAGCAAGTCAACATCATGCGTAAGTTATATAATATCAGGTGTTGACTGTTATTATACGATATTGTCTCGAAATTTGTGATAGTGTAACACTGCTTAAATATGACCAGGGGCGGTTTCTTCATTGTGTTGGCAGTTCAGTGTGGTCCTGTTTGCAGTTTGCAGTTTGCAGTTTGACTTGTAGTTATTTATATATGTATAGAAAATGCTCTAAACAAATGTAACTTTTTTTTTTTCCTCACCGTTTTTTGTTGTTGCACCATATACATAAATTGTGAATTATGAAAACTAAAAAATGTTTTAATTTATGTTGAAAAAAGCTTGCAGAAAATATCGTTTTGTGGGAATTATCCTCAATCTTTAACTTGATAAACAGTTTATTTAAAATATTTCAAGTCTTAATACTTTTCCTTTTGTTATAATGGGATAAATCATACCGGGATGTATGCTAAAATTGTTGGATGTGGCGCCCTACCTAGAAAGATTTCCTCCAACCGCCACGGAGTTATGAATAATTATTTATTGACTTGAAAGGGCTTGGTAGTGTTGTTTCTAGCAAGCATTTATGGAGACATCTTGAAAATAGACACCACCGGTGCATCAGAGGTGACAGCAAAGCAGGTCAAATTAACCGTAAAGGGTAAGAATGCATGACTGCATACAAATCACATATGACTCAGTTTAATTACAATATATGTAATGTGCACCATGGTACAGTATATATTAACAATGATTTAAATTTGTCATAGGGGTTGAAGCATCTTAAAAACTGGCTGAGAATGATCTGGCCCGGATGGAGAAATACAAGAACATGATCACCAAAGTTGGCAGAGCAAAGCAGATGGACCCGGCTGTGATTGCTGCCATCATATCTAGAGATTCCAGAGCTGGAGCCGTTCTGAAGAATGGGAGGGATCCCACAGGCAATGGCTTTGGCCTCATGCAGGTTCATTACACCAATAGATCTACTCTATTTAAAATTTAATTCACAGGTAGATTTAGGATTAGACTTATATGAGTGTGTAGATAAAATACGGTTCAAGGATTTTAAGTGGTTTTAAGTAAGACATGTTCATGGATCAACATTACTGTCCAAAAATATATGCCTAACCCAATCCCTACCCCTACCCCTAAACCTAACCCTACCCATAATTTATTCTTAAAATCAGAGAGAAATAATAGGTGAATAACAAGGGTGTAGAAGCATGTAACCCTGATTTTAAGCCTAAAACGGACATTTCTTGAAAACGTATCCCTTAATTATGATTGGTTGATTGGAATGTTGTTCCAGGATCAATAAGGATGTTGATCCAGGAACATGTTGTACTTGGTGAAATCACGGTCACCGTGCTTAAGTAGTCACAATAATCGTCCATGCAAAGTGTTACTAAATATTTCTGTTGTTTCAAAGCTTCATTTTTTTTCCAGGTTGACAAAAGCCAAAATCACACTCCAGTTGGTGCATGGGACAGTGAGCGACATGTCACACAAGCTACAGAGATACTCATTGGCTTAATTAAAGAAATTAAAGTAAAGTTCCCCAAGTGGACACAAGAGCAATGCTTTAAAGGTAGTACACTTCCACTCTCGGAAACCACAAATGTACCTTGTTTCAGAAACTACACACATTGGATTCATCAGAGAACAGAGAAGCGCAAGAATGCTGATTTGATAGATGAATATTAATCAATTAATCAATCTATAAATTGTCCAAGAAAAACTGATTGAATGTTTTATGTCTGTTTTAGGGGGAATAGCAGCCTACAACAACGGTGTGAGTAGAGTCAGTGCGTATGAGAATATCGATGCCAAAACCACAGGACAAGACTACTCCAATGATGTTGTCGCCAGAGCCCAATGGTTCAAAAGCAAGGGTTAATGAAGAACATATATGAACCTGTAAAACCCTTACATTAGTGGAATGAGTACAACAACTCATTTCATTCATTTTTTTATATTAGGCCTACTGTAGTGGTATGGTTAGTTAAATATAGATATTAGATTGCTAATATAATCTTTCCAAGCCATTTAAGAGTTCGAGTTTTCAAAATATTACCATTTTAATGATACTACAGAGCTGCAGTGTATTTCCTGTAATTATAGTAATGACGATCGTATTACATACAATTCATTAATTTACTCAAATCATGTGTCTGTTATTTATCACAATCAGGGCTGCTGCTGGTCAAATGGGTGCCCTAAGCAGAACTGTATTATTGTGCCCCCCTTCCTCAAATATTATGGAAGTAAAAAAAAAAAAAACTACTATAGGGGTCAAAATAAAACTTTAATAAAATATAAAAGTGAATAAATAAATAAATTGTATTATTTACTAATTACAAATCTAGACAGTTACCCATGGCTATGATTTTATTAATACAGTTGTCTGATTTTATAGTCTCGCGCATTCAGAAATCATGCAAAAGAAAATGAAGCAGTTTTACTACGATAAAACCATGGTTAATTTTTGTAAGGGTTGTGATGTCCACATGTTTTTTTGTTGAAGAAATTATAGAGGCTGTGTCTGTCAGCTATCTATAACAAAAAAGTGGCCAAAAATGAAAGATTAAGTGGATATTTGAATTAAATGTTTGGTCAATAGCCTACAAGGATTTGATTGTCCTGTAAGTGTAGCAGCAGCAACTACATGGCCTTTGGCTCCCTTTGCAGGCATTTGTAATAACATGTAATGTACATAAATTGTTTCTTTTGTATTACATTATGTATTTTAACAGTGTTGTTGAATGAAACCATATAATTATTAATTAACCAATCATTCTTGCCGCATTGTTTTTATATAATGCATTTTAAGTCATTTGAAAGGCTATTGTTGGCTTAGGTCTGTTTTTATAACCACAAAAAAATTATATTATAATACTTCTTTGTAAATTATTAATTGAAGTATCAAAACCATGGTTAATTTGCGGTTACCGTGGTTACAAGAACCATGATGTTTTTTTTATTATTATTTGTGTTAAATCCATGTAATTATTAATTAACCAATCATTCTTGCCGCATTGTTTTTATATAATGCATTTTAAGTCATTTGAAAGGCTATTGTTGGCTTAGGTCTGTTTTTATAACCACAAAAAAAATTATATTATAATACTTCTTTGTAAATTATTAATTGAAGTATCAAAACCATGGTTAATTTGCGGTTACCGTGGTTACAAGAACCATGATGTTTGTTTGTTTTTTTATTTGTGTTAAATCCATAGCTAATTTTCGTAATGGAACATGGAAACTCAGAAACTTAGATTCGTTGTTGGTGGTGAAATTATTACCGACATTAAAACACATTATTAATGCCAACAGCCAAAAAAGTTTCACAGGATTATGAATGTACCTGAAAACATGGCTCCAGTTATAGGAGTGGATAATTTTATCAGTTGTTTATTATTCATGCAACAATGCATATTACTTAGTGATGGGCAACGATAAAAAAAAATTTTTTTTAATTGTGATTAATCGCATGATTTTCTGTGATTAATCGAATTGTTATGCACAAAATTCAATAATGAATTCAAAAGTTGAAGTTGTATTGTGCACTTTTTTTTAAAGTACTGCTATATGAACAAAAGTGCAATGACATTTGGTTTGGAAACGCTTAAAGCAAATAAGGTGCTTTTTTACAGCAGTATTTCTTTTACATTGTAGCAGTTAAAATATTTCTTGCAAATCTCAATTTATAACATTAATGTAATCAAATTAAACATAAAACCAAAGCTATTTGCCACTGCCAGGGTGTTTTTATAGAAAATATTTTATAGTTTGTTATAGAAAACACTGGAAGCGAATGTTGTGCTTACTGTCAGAGGGTCTGCATGCAGACACTGCAGACGGAATAATATAAGTTTATAATATTATAATGGGATCTATGTGGTTTTGACACGACAATATGATTCATGTGGTTTAGACAAGACGATGTATTGTTTCTATAGCAACTACTGTTTACATGAGTGTTTCTATAAGTTTTCTGTAGCACGGCAGCAGAACTTTCTGTGAACTCAGTGCTCCCTTTCGAGTTGGTATGTCGATATATTAGGTCCCAGCCTTGTTCCTGATTGCTATGGTGAAATGGACGAAGATCCACTATGCAAGAGAGTTCACCTTGCTGTGTTGCACCCATCTGTTCCCTTGCATGGTGCAGGTAACAGACTCTGGAAATGTTTGAGTTCTTTGTTGCCAATAAAAAAGTTCACTATAAAAAAACTAAAACAAACATGTCTCAACATCAGGGCTTTTTCCCTCCTCACTCTTACTCTCATTTGCACATTATGCAGGGTGCAACCCCTGTGCATTATCTCATTCTCAATTCTGGTGGTCCAGCTTGTGCAGTTGTCAACGTAGGATGGTGAGTATGATCACAAGCGCTTATACACTTCAGTTTGCATGCAGACCACCCCACTTGCCAGATCGGGGCACACCCGATTTGTGAGCAGAGATCCACTCTCTCCTGGCAAAAGAGGTGATAGAGAGAGTGCCACAAGAGCACAGGGAAAGCAGTCTGTGCAGTTGCGATTTCCTAATCCCAAAAAAGGGACGATAGTCTCCATCTCGTTTTGGATTTGAGACCTCCAAATTGTGCACTGGCAAAGTGTACATTCAGAATGATCAACATGAAGCAGATCCAGATATTCAGCCCGGGGACTGGTTTGTTTCAGTGGATTTAAAAAATGCTTATTTTCCTTTCCAGATAGCCCTGTCTTATCATCTTATCAGTTTAAAGTCCTCCCTTTCGGGCTGGCTTTGTGTCCGAGAACTTTTCCAAAATGCAAAGCTGAATGCGCATTCTGAACTATCTGGATTATTGGCTTATGGCTCAATTTCAGGATGTGCTAGAAAGCCACAAACTTCAGCTTCTAGACCATTGCAGAAGAGCATGCTTCATCCCACACAAAGCATTATGTTCTTGGATATGACCCTATTCTTGCGAGCAATGCAAGTTTGTCTTTCTCAGGAGCATGTACAGTCTTTACTGAGCACTCTCGCTTCATTCAAACTGAGGAGATCGGTTCCTCTGAAGTGTTTTCAGAGGTTGCTGGGACTGATGGTTGCAGCCACAGTTGTGTGCCGGTTTTGAGCTTCTGTTTATGAGCTGAAAGACTGTGTGCCACAGCACGTGGTCGTGTCTTAGTGACTTGTGGCTATATTAGTACACTGGCTCCCTGGTTCAACAGAACAATGTACGAACAAGGGATTTCGATGGACAGAGTGGTCAGTTGTGACAACAGATGCATTGTTAATGGGCTGATGAGCCCTTTGCAATGACATACCATCTCCGCAGCCTTGTGCCACTTGGACGAGTGTGCAGTCAGTGTGGCACATAAACTGCCTAGAGCTGAAGGCTGTGTCTTCCTTTCATTGGTAAAAAATCGTCATGTTCTTGTTCAGATGGACAACACGACAGTGGTGTCTTACATCAACCACTAAGGGGGTATTTGTTTACGCTCGCTACAGTGGCTGGCAGAAGTTTTCCTCTTGTGGATGGACAGGAACCATCCATCCATACAGTTGGATGTATGGTCCATTTCCCCGGCCATCTAAACTGCAGCGCGGACATGCTGTCATGCTGACATGCTGGTGTGGTTCACGGGGAATGGAGGTTAAATGATCTAGTTCATCTGGAGCCTGTTTAGGGAAGCGGAGGTCGACTTGTTTGCCTTGGAGAACATGCATTGCCCCCTGTTCTTCTGACAAGTGCCCCCCTGGAAGGGGATGTGCTATCTAGCTGCTGGCCAAAAAAGCACAAATATGCTTTTCCCCCCAGTCAAGATCATGCCATTGGTGCTGCACAAGTTCAAGGAGGAACAGGAGACTGTAGAAATCATGGCTGGTTGGGCCAATTCAGCGCAACCAGCCATGATTTCTGGAGCAGATAGAACTCCTAACAACTCCCTCCGTGGCATGTTTCCTTACAACGGGACCTGTTGTCTCAAGCAATGGGCACTACATGGCACCGTAAGCTGGAGTTATGGAATCTGCATGTTTGGCAAGTCAGTGCTGTGGGCAGATACAATTGCGGAAGCAAGCAATTTTCCACACATGGCTATGCCCTTTGCAAGTAGGTCCAGTAGGGACGTCTAGGTCCTTCATCTAGGTCTGTTTCAGGGGGAATATATGAGCACATGGACGTGGGCACCACAGGTGACTATGCTAAAAATGTTGTTGCCAGAGCCAACAAAAAGGTTCAAAAGCAAGGGTTACTTGAAGAACATATTTTTTGTTCATTCTAATCATTGTTCACTGTTCTATATTTGATTTTCTATTTATTGGGATGAAATAAAACCCATTTATTCACTCAAATGTGTCTTTCATGTGTCTTTTTCAACACATAAATCTTCTTCCCATATTCATATTAAAATTATCTAGTTAGGGGTGCACGCAGCATAGCTGTTTTAACCTTCTATGCTTTCATTTACTTCTCAGTTGCCCTATTATTTTTCTGTCCTAAACATACCTGGGCAACAGTAACTGTAAAACACAAACAAATCAGATTTGGATGGTCCCATATCGCACCTATTTCTCAGTCAAGCGCAATGAAAACTGCCTGATATTAGCTGGCAGTATAATAAGTAATTTTACGCTTAATTGCTGATAACTCACAAACCATGCAGACTACAATTAAATAATCCAATCCCATCATATATTATTATTTTACATTTTATAACTGCTGTTTATTTTTATGTTTATTTATTATTTTGATTGAAAATACTGTATAATTGCAATTATGTTCTGCATCACCATCATGGGTAAGTTATATAATGTCAGGGGATTTTATGATTTTGTCATTTTGCAATACTGTAGCGCTGCATACATTTTCTGTATAACTATTTAAGATCTTCAGGTGATATTTTTCGTGTTGTTTCTAGCATGCATTTATGGAGACATCATGAAAATAGACACCACCGGTGCATCAGAGAGGACAGCAAAACAAGACACATTAACTGTAAAGGTTGAGAATGCATGCACACAAATCACATCAATTCCGCAAATGAAAGATAACGGAAGTGAGAGAAAAGTGTTTATTACGTTTGAAATATGGATATTTTTCTTACAAAAACA